ACGTAATGTGCACTTGATTAGGAGTAATCGTAGAAGGAATGTTCAAATATTGAAATTCTAATCTTGAGGATCTTATGTTTTTAGATAAATTATGATGTCCTTCTTAGATAAATTATGATGTGATTGATGGATTTGATGACATTTTCAGAGGTGGTTCCAAATGATCAGCTCTTAAAGAACGAGTAACCATTTCTTAAATGTAAATGAATTCTCAAACCACGTCCCAAACGCTAAACCTTCAAACATACCACATCTCCAAACTCGCAAACCACCAAAATCACAGTCCCAAAACTCCCAAGTTTTAAAATTCTGAAATCTAAAGCCACGTCCTCTCCTTAATTTTTCAGTAGCAACTTGAGAATATTCCAGTGTCCGCAAATCAATATCGTGGAAGATAAAACTGCGAGAATATCGGAGTCACAAGGGTGAAAAAGGTGTTTGGAATTTCGCGGCAACTTGGAGAGTCCGTAAACTCGGAAGTTTGAGAATCTTCGAAGCAATAAACTCCCAACTGAACTCGCGCGTTTCCCTAATATACGATCGAAGATACAACGTCGATAGAATCATTATCAATTAATATCTCCTGTGAAGATATAAACTTGGAGGATCTTTGTCCCAGTTGAAGGAAACGTTTTCAAATTCTGAAATCTCTGATTGAATGTCATTTTTGTGCATATCGCGAGATTGCGAAGGCAGGAGAATCAGGTTGAAACGAAATCTGGCAGCTGAGAAGGACACAGGGATGAGGGAATGCATACAGCTGGATATTTAACCAGGATTATGGAAGCTCGTTTGGTAAAACATTCGTGGAAGTTAAGCTCCTTTCACGGCCTCTGACGATGCTCTGTTTTGAATAGCGTCCGGGTCCCTGAAATAATTCTTATCGGACTGTCTGACTACTTTCACGCAGTTAATACGCTCAGTGACACTGTGCAAACATTCTCGTTTACTGCACTTTGAGATAGTAACGAGTTCTATCATGGTACGCTTCGATGGGTTGTTTTGGAAGCCTCGATATGTCGAATTAATGTATTCGCAAATTGGTTAATTTGATAAATAGCGAATTGTCGAATTGGTAAATTTGTTGAATGGTTTATTGGCGAGGTAGTGAATTAGTAGATTTATGGATTGGGGGACTAGTATATTTGTAGACTGATAGATTGATAGATTGATAGAGTGATGGATTGATGGATTAATAGATTGAAAGTTGATAAAATAGTAAATTGGTAAATAGACAAATTGACAAATTGATAACTTGATGACTCGGTAAATTGATACCTTGATAACTCGGTAGCTTGGGTAACTTGATACTTTGATAACTTGGTGACTCAGTAATTTGATAGCTTTGTAACTTGGTAACTTGATACTTTGATAACTTGGTGACTCAGTAATTTGATAGCTTTGTAACTTGGTAACTTGATACTTTGATAACTTGGTGACTCAGTAATTTGATAGCTTTGTAACTTGGTAATTTGTCAGCTTTATATCTTGGTAACATAATACCTTGATAACTTGGTGACTCGGTAATTTGATAGCTTTGGAACTTGGTAACTTGATACCTTGGTGACTCGGTAACTTGATACCGTGATAACTTGGAGACTCGGTAACTTGATAGCTTTGTAACTTGGTAACTTGATACCTTGATAACTTGGTGACCCAGTAATTTGATAGCTTTGTAACTTGGTAATTTGTCAGCTTTATATCTTGGTAACATAATACCTTGATAACTTGGTGACTTGGTAATTTGATAGCTTTGTAACTTGGTAACTTGATACCTTGATAACTTGGTGACTCAGTAATTTGATAGCTTTGATAGCTTTGTAACTTGGTAACTTGATACTTTGATAACTTGGTGACTCAGTAATTTGATAGCTTTGTAACTTGGTAATTTGTCAGCTTTATATCTTGGTAACATAATACCTTGATAACTTGGTGACTTGGTAATTTGATAGCTTTGTAACTTGGTAACTTGATACCTTGATAACTTGGTAACTTGATACCTAGATAACTCGGTAACTTAATAACTTGATAAATTGATATATTAATCAATTGAAAAATTTACAAATTGCCACATTAATAGATTGATAGAATAGTAAATTACTATGTTAATAACTTATTGTGTTAGTATTTTAATGAACCACTGCATTAATGAATTAATATACTAGTACCTAAGTACGTCAGTAAATGACCAAATTAATAAATTAATAAATTAACGAATTAATAAATTAGTAAATCAATAATTTATCAAATTACAAATTTACCAAATTCCTATATTGCCATGCAATTATTAAATTAATGTATTAGCCAATATTTTAGTTCTCTTCTTTTTAATTTCTTTTAAAATGTACATACGTAAATTAATGATAGTATTGAACCGAAGTAATGGAGTTATGAATTATCAAAGGTCATTGTATTTGACGTGACATTCTCCGAATATTAAATGGCGGCTATATTATATCAAATATTTTACGTCAAATAAGTTCATGTAATAACGTTCAGCAGTTAGCATCCACGTATTCAATAAAGTGATTTGCAATGCTTGTTCGTTGATTAACGAATATTCTGATTTAATATACATTTGCGGATTGCAATGTTCGACCATTGCGAACAGCTGGTAAACAACGTTGCGCAAGTAAATATCCGGTCCCATACAGATTAGTTTACGTCCGCGGAGAAATCAGAAATTAGTGAAATATTAATGTTACATTGTGCTGAATTGTTAATTTAGGTACAGAAAATTCGTAGAAATAATGATATCATTGTTTTATTTGAATATAATTATTTAGGATTATGGAGACTAGTTTTATTTGCTATTTTACCAAGTGTGAAGCAGAAATTATAGGTTTGAGTTTAGATTTCAGATTTTTTAAATTCTCACATTTACAAATTTCTATTTGCTCCAAATTTTCAGATTTTAAGTTTCCTAAATTCCCTAATTTTTACAACCCAAAAATTCCAATTTTCACTTCCAAGATTTTGAGATTTCAAATTTCCCAAATTCTCACTTCCCCAAATTTCTGTACTCTCCAAATTCTCACATTTCCAAATTTCTGTTTTCCCCAAATTTTCAGATTTCCAATTTCCTAAATCTCCCAATTTTTTACAATCCAAAATTCCCAAATTCCACTTCCAAAATTTTGAGATTTCGAATCTTCCAAATTCTCACGCTCCCAAATTTCTGCACTCCCCAAATTTCTACACTCCCCAAATTCTCACATTTCCAAATTTCCTAAACCCCCAATTTTTGCAACCCAAAATCTCCAAATCCCACTTCCAAATTTCCAAAATTTCACTCATCCCAAATTCCTGCACTCCCCAAATTTCTACACTCCTCAAATTCTCACATTTCTAAATTTCCTAAATCCCCAATTTTTGCAACCCAAAATCTCCAAATCCCACTTCCAAAATTCCAAAATCTCACTCATCCCAAATTCTCACATTTGAAACCTCTGCACCCCCCACCTCAAATTCTCAAACTTCCAAAAATCCCAAGAATCCCAAAAATTTCAAAAATCCCAAACACCCTCAAGATCCCAAACACCCTCAAAATCCCAAAAATCCCAAGAATCCCAAAAATCCCAAAAATCCCAGAAACCCCAGAAATCCCAAAAACCCCAAAATCCCAAATCTCCCAAATTCCCAAAATTTGCCTCCAAACCTTTCCCACAAAATTGCAAGGTTAATTCGCCTAAATACACTCGATAGCGAGTGCACTCGAACCAACAGGCGTGTAAATAATCTCCCTGACGGATCCACGAGCAACTGTTATAATCGAGCTGACTTTTAGCGGTTGGTAGATCGTGTGCACATCCCTACTAGCTGTGTTTGTATTACGTGTTTGGTTAAGTTACACAAAGGATGTGCCTTGTGTCCTGTTTCCTACTGTTACACACCCACTGCTGGAGTCAGCTGGCTTCGTACCTCGTCTAAGATTATGTTTGTGCTTGGACTGTCAGCAGAGGGCCATCATTTTCGGTAATACAGAGACATCTGGAGCTTTGTATGTCGGCTGATGTTTGCGGCTTCTACGGTTCGCTGCATCGATTCATCTCTTTACGTCTTAATTGAATTTTATTCTACTTTAGTCCCTTTCACTCTAATCCCTCATTTTTACCTTGAAAAATAAATAGGTGACTTCTTTGTTATTCAAAAAGAATGATCATTTTTAAATTATTTTTATGTTTAGTTCAGTGGGTGATCAAACCATAGGCCCATAATTTTGTTAGGCAATCAGCAACTTTTCTTTTGAGAAAACGAAAGGAACTTGCTATCGAATAATAGCACTTAATATATCCACTTGTTGTTGAAGTAATTTAATTTTAAGTATTGCAATAAAATTTTATTTCTGATGCAGGAGTCTTCACTTTGTAGATAATACTTATGTCACAAACTTGACATACCAGTATAACATGAACGTGATATTCACATGTCCTCATGTCCACATTTACACATGTGCACATGTGTAAATTTTGTAGCTGTGAGTACATTCAGAAACATACGTGATATTGATCCTTTGAAATGTTTTCAAAGGATATTATCAGAGTTTCATTTTTCCCCATCTAAGACAAGAATAATGGTGTGTTCCGCAGACAGAACGGCTGAAGCATTCTGATCACTCGAACGCATTCATTATCCACCTTAGCGGTATGCACCGCGACGTAGAAACATGCCGCAAAGGGATGAAATTAATAACTGTTTGCAGACACCTTAAGCTTCCGTTGCAACGGTGCGCTTTATTAATTTGCGTCGACTATTACGAGACAGATTTCTATACGGTATCGCAACAATCGCTTCCCTTTTTACGACGGATTATCGCGTTACCGTGCATTGCTTAACGGCCCCGATGAAATATGGTCATCATTCCGCTGGGTTTTATGGTCGGATGAGGAGAGATATTGCTTCAAACGATCTTCGGTAGATTGCCTCTTTTATCGATTTAAGAAAGCGTTCGAAGGATTTGGTAGATTGTTGAACTTGAAATTTTTAATATTGTGTTGCAGATGTTAATATGGTGGCGGAGCCGAAGCCTCACCAGACTGGACGCAAACGCCAAAATGTGACCAAGACAGGCAACGATTGGTGAGTTGATGGCATTTTTATTGGTATTCAATCATGGCGGCAGCGTGTAAATTTTTGGGGGGGATAATTAGGGTCTATTTTAACAATTTTTAAACTGTATTAACAATATAGGATTCTTTTATTTTTTTTCTTTGTACTTTTTAAATATTTTTTGAATATTTTTGTGGTACTTTTTAGTTGAGTGAAATGAGGGAAAATAGTGCTTTAGTATGAATTATATTAATTCTTTGACTAGCAAGAATATTTGTGGTGCGAGTCAGTAAGACTCTAGTAGTGGTAATAGTTATACTACTTGTCTGACTAGTGTCAGTGGTTATACTACTTGTCTGACTAATGTCAGTGGTTGTACTACTTGTCTGACTAGCGAAAGTAGTTGTGTAACGTATCAGCTAGGTATGGTATTTATATTTGTCCGAATAGTAGCTGAATGTTGAAACTACTTGTCTGACTAGTAAGAGTATACATTTCTACTTGTCTGACTAGCAGCAGTAGATGTTTCTACTTGTCTGACTAGCTAGGGTACTCATTCTACTTGTCTGACCAGTAAGAGTACTCATTCTACTTGTCTGACTAGTAAGGGTACTCATTCCACTTGTCTGACCAGCAACCGTATTCCCTCTACTTGTCTAACTAGCAAGGGTACTCATTCTACTTGTCTGACCAGTGAAAATATTTATTTCCCTTGTCTGACTAGCAAGGGTACTCCTACTACTTGTCTGACGAGTAAGAGTACTCATTCCACTTGTCTGACCAGAAACCGTATTCCCTCTACTTGTCTAACTAGCAAGGGTACTCATTCTACTTGTCTGACCTGTGAAAATATTTATTTCCCTTGTCTGACTAGCAAGGGTACTCCTACTACTTGTCTGACCAGTAAGAGTACTCATTCTACTTGTCTGACTAGTAAGGGTACTCATTCTACTTGTCTGACCAATTCATTCTACTTCTCTGATTAGCAAGGGTACTTATTCTACTTGTCTGACCAGCAACAGTACTCATACTACGTGTCTGACAAGCAATATATCTGACTAACAATAGTACTTTTACTACTTGTCTTACCACCAACAGAATTTATATAATTTGTCAGACTAACGACGGTATATATTCTACTTGTCTGCCTGGTATGACTTGCGTGACAAATATTGACATGTCTGACGAGCAACAGGTTTTACAAACCAATTGTATCACTAACTCTCAATTATGGTCTATTTTTGCACTGTGACTGACAATGTATTTACCTATACTACTTGTTGCAGTGTTTATTATTTCTGTATTACTTGTCTGACTTTGTGTAGTATTTATATTACTTGTCTGACTTCGTGTAGTATTTATACTACTTGTCTGACTTCGTGTAGTACTTATGTTACTTGTCTAACTTTATACAGTTCTTATACTACTTGTCTGACTTCGTACGAGTTATATTCTACTTGTCTGACCTCGTACAGTTCCTGCATTACTTATTTGACCTCGTAAGGCTTCTATACTACTTGTCTGACCTCCTATGGTTCCTGTACCACTTACATGATTTCACAGGAGTCCTATACTACTTGTCTGACCTTCTATGGTTCCTATACTACTTGTCTGACCTTCTATAGTTCTTATACGACTTGTCTGCCATCGTATGTTTCCTATACTACTTGTTCGACCTCCTATGATTCCTGTACTACTTGTCTGACTTCGTATGGTTCCTGTACTACTTGTCTGACTTGGTATGGTTCCTATACTACTTGTCTGACCTCGTATGGTTTCTACACTACTTGTCTGACCTCGTATAGTTCCTACACCACTTACATGATTTCACAAGAGTCCTATACTACTTGTCTGACCTTCTATGGTTTCTATACTACTTGTCTGACATCGTATGGTTCCTGTACTACTTGTCTGACCTCTTATGGTTCCTATACTACTTGTCTGACCTCTTATGGTTTCTACACTACTTGTCTGACCTCGTATAGTTCCTACACCACTTACATGACTTCACAGGAGTTCTATACTACTTGTCTGACCTCCTACACTATCTACACTACTTATCCACACTCTCCATACTACTTGTACGATGTCACACGATTCTTCTGCTACTTGTCTAACCACCTAAGTATCCTATACTAAGTGTCCTACACCTAACCTCATGCAAGTCCCCTAACTCAACAACCAACCAACATTTTAATCTCCACCAAGGTACCATCAACCCAAAATTCTAAAACGCAGAAAATTAAAACGTAGCCGTTAGAAATCCACAAGAAGCACCACTCAAGTATAACGAAAGTATGACGGTATCGAGTAGGAAAGTAGAGAACGATGTAAATCGAGGGCGGCGAGAAGCAACCAGCGGTAGATCCGCGGAAATTCTGTCGGAAAATTGGTGTAGAGAGCGAGTCGATCGTTTGGCCCGATGAAAAATGATGTTCGTTCCCGATGTGTTGAAATCTGTAATGTGGCACGGGAGTTGGCAATCGGCCCGGCTCAAATCTTGGACGAAGAAAAGTTGGTCGCAGCTCTCGCATAAATCTTCCACGATGGTGAGCCCGCGTTTTACTCGAAAGGCTACTACCGAGCCTTGATCCTGTCGACGTTGTTGCCCTGTAAGGGGATCGAGCCTTTAAGAACGACGCCAAACAAATTCTAAACTCCATCTAACTGGGCTACGCTGTGTCGAGCTTCTTGCCGGGAGACGTGCTGAAAACGTGTTTTACGCGACGTACGTGACCGTAAAATTTCCAACAAACCTTACTCGCCTCGGGGAACACCGTTGCTCAAGATGGAACAACCGTAATCGCACCTTAATCCGTACTGCATGCTATTATTTTGCGTTTGCATCGATTATGGTAGATGCAACCGAGACTAGCAATGATTCTTGACATTTGAAGTTCTTTGAGAGGAAATGAAAGTTTTGGGGATGTTGAGAGTTGGTCATCTTTTTTATGTACTTTATGGATCGATACTGAACTGTAAGATTCTTAAATTGTGGTACGCTTAAATTTTCATGTTTGTAAATTATGAAATGGACAGATTGTCTGAACCTTGAGTTTTTACAAGTCGCAAGTTGTTATATTCTCAAATTGGCACATGCTTGCGTTCTCACATATCCTAAATTCACATATCCCCAAATTCTCACGTTCTCAAATTCTCATATATGTAAATTCACATATCCCCAAATTCTCACATCCCAAATTTCATATATGCCCAAATTCTCACATATGTAAATTCACATATCCCCAAATTCTCATATCCCAAATTTCACATATCCCCAAATTCTCACATCCGAAATTTCACATATCCCCAAATTCTCACGCCCCCAAATTCTCACATGTCCGAATTCTCACATCCCCAAATTCTCACATCCCAAATTTCACATATCCCCAAAATCTCACGCCCCCAAATTCTCACATGTCCGAATTCTCACATCCCCAAATTCTCACATCCCAAATTTCACATATCCCCAAATTCTCACATCCCAAATTCTCACATCCCAAATTCTCACATCCCAAATTCTCACATCCCCAAATTCTCACACCCCTAAATTCTCACATCCCCAATTTCCACACCCCCAATTCTCACACCCCTAAAAATCTTCCAATCCCAAAATTTCCAAATTCCTACACCTCCAAATTCTACAATTAATTCCATCAAGTACAATATATATTTCCACTTGCACAAAAGACCAGAAATTCTAAACCTCGTCTCTGTTGCCTTAACACAAAAATAAATTCATTACCAAAGAGGCAATTTAACTCAGAACGAAAAGCATACGTGTAATATGCTTTTAATACATGAATACAAAAATTAATTCGTAAATAATCTTACCGTAAAATCTCACTGATTGCATTCTTTAATAACAACGTTCCGACGATGGACTTCGTTAATTAAAAGCTCTTATCTAGAATTTATATCTAATCCGAGCTTTCGCAGTAACAGTCAAAAAGCTGGCTTATCTGACAAAAAACATCGATGTTATCTCCGTATACGTGTACGTATGTGTTTTTTTTCGATTTCTTTTTTTTTTAACTGCGACGTGAAAGCTTCGATCAATTTGAACATCGGTATCACTGCTACAAACGGCAGCCTTTAAAATTTTGCACTATTTTTTTTCTACCGTGTGTTAAACCTTTTCAAAAGAAATATTTTTTTTATTCCGATGAGATACGGTGTTTGATTTTTTTGGGTAACGGAACTGACGTTTTGGATGATTGAAGTGTCTTCGCCGTGGCGCGGACAGGTACGAGAATTTTCAAGTTGTGTTCTAGAATTTGCAAATGGGGAATCTGGAAATTTATTTTTAGAATTTTGCTGTTTGGAAGTTTTCGTATTTTCATATTTTTAAATTATCACGTTCTCAAATTTTCACATTTTCAAGTTATGAAATTTTCAAAATTTCAGATTTTCAGATTTGCAAATTTTTAAATTGTCAAATTTTCAAATTCTCAAATTCTCAAATTCCCCAAATTCCTCAAATTCTTCACATTCTTCAAATTTCCCAAATTCCCCAAATTCCCCAAATACCCTAAATTTCCCAAATTCTCCAATTTCCACAAATTACCCAAATTCCCCAAATCTCTCAAATTCCTTAGAGCCCCTAAATTCTCCAAATTTCCCTAATTCCACAAATTCCCCAAATACCCTAAATTTCCCAAATTCTCCAACTTCCACAAATTACCCAAATCTCTCAAATTCCTTAGAGCCCCTAAATTCTCCAAATTTCCCTAATTCCACAAATTCTCCAAATACCCTAAATTTCCCAAATGCCCCAATTTCCCCAAATGCTCTAAATTCCCTAAATTCCCCAAATTCTAAAATCCCCATCTCCCAAAACTTCCAAACCCGAACATTCCAACATTCCCAACTCACACAAAAAGCTAATCGCAAAACAGCATTTAAAAACGAATTACATAAATTGCAAGAAAATCGCGGTACCCAGTTAATCAGTACGGTTGTTAATTAAAAATTTTCTCTCCGACAGTTAAAAAGCCAACAATTTTCGGACTCTCTGACAGCGATCCTTT